AAAAAAAAAAAAAAAGAACATTGAGATGTCAGTTTTCATTCATCAGATTTGCACCAATTTAAAAAATAATTGTATCCACCACTGGGGAGGGCCTGGGAAAATTCACATTCACCCACGCTGTTGGTGACCACAGATAGGTTCAGCCTGTCTGGAGGGCAACCTAGCAGGATGTGGAACTATTTAAATGTACACAGCCTTTGACCTGGAAATTTCACTTCTAGAATTTTATACTACCAAGATACTGTCAAACTCTCATGCACCCATAAAAAATGTTTTGTACAAGGATGCTTATTGCAGCATTGTTTATATCACCAAAAAAAAAAAAAAAAAGAAGAGTAAAACAATCCATAAGGATGGTTAAATGAGTCTTATAAAATATCATACAGCTTTGAAAAATGGTGAGCTTATACCCATATTTGTTACTTAGAAAGATGTCTATGATACATTGTTAAGTAACAAAAAGAAAGAAAAGTTACAAAAGGGTTTGTTTACTATGATGCTGAATAGAAAATAACTATTGATAATGGTTGCTTTTTTTTTTTTTTGAGACAGAGCCTCAAGCTATCCCCCTGGGCAGAGTGCTGTGGCATCACAGCTCACAGCAACCCCCAATTCCTGGGCTCAAGCAAGTCTCCTGCCTCTGTCTCCCAAGTAGCTGGGACAACAGGTGCCTGTTGCAATGCCCAGCTATTTTTGGTTGCAGCCGTCATTGTTGTTTGGCGGGCCCCGGCTGGATTTGAACCCGCCACCTTAGGTGTATGTGGCTGGTGCCTTAGCCACTTGAGCTATAGGCCCCGAGCCTTTTGGTTTGTTTTTGAGACAGTCTCACTCTGTGGCCCTGGGTAGAATGCCATGATGTCATACCTCACAGCAACCTCAAACTCTTAGGCTTGAGCAATCCTCTTGCCTCAGCCTCCCAAGTAGCTGGGACTTTAGTCACCGGCCACAACACCCAGCTATTTTTAGAGACAGGATCTCACTCTTGCTAAGGCTGCTCTTGAAATTCTGAGCTCAAGCAATCCACCTACCTCAGCCTCCCAGAGTGCTAGGATTACAAGGATTGTTTTTGGAAGTACAGAGAGGAAGCGTGCTTGGAGAATGTGTAACAGAACTTTCACATTTTGTATAGTAACAACCACCACCTTGGCTAGTTTATGCTGACAGCTTACTGTATGCCAGGCACTTGTGCAGAGAATAAAGATTGTCTGGTTAAGTCCTCAAGGCAACCTTCCTAGGTGGGCACACTTATACCATTATACACATGAAAGAAATTTTTTTCTTTTTGAAACAGAGTCTCAAGCTGTCACCCTGGGTGGAGTGCGGTGGCGTCATCATAGCTCATAGCAACCTCCTACTCTTGGCCTCAAGTGATCCTCTTGCCTCAATGTTTTCTATTTTTAGTAGAGACGGGGGTGGGGGTGGGGTCTCACTTTTTGCCCAGGCTCGTCTCGAACTTGTGAGCTCAAGCAATCCACCTGTCTCAGCCTCCCAGAGTGCTAGGATTACAGGTGTGAGCCACTGAGCCTGGCCACGTGAAAGAAACTAAGCTCAAAGGGGTCATGCCTTGTGTTGAAGCTATCAGCTGCTAGGTAACAAAACCAGGTTTAAGACCCAGTGGTCTAACTCCATGATAGACTGTCTCCCAGTGTACATTCCTAGTGCTGCTTGAATTATTTTACTGTAACTTTGTGTTGGTTTTCTAGTTAAAACAAAATAACAGGCCAGGAGGGGTGGCTCCTGTAATCCTAGAAGTCTGGGAAGCCCAGGCAGGTGGATTGCTTGAGCTCAGGAGTTCAAGATCAGCCTGAACAAGAGTAATAATAAGAGTATGATAAGAGTATATAAGAGTATGATAAGAGTATAACAAGAAGTAAACAAGCTATCAGAGATTATTAGGATAATGTCAAAAGTTTTAGAGACTGTCATCTCTTAAAAAAAAGAAAAACTAGCTAGATACTGTGGTGGGCACCTATAGTCTAGCTACTTGGGAGGCTGAGGCAAAAGGATCACTGGAGCCCAAGAGTTTGAGGTTGCTGTGGGCTATGATGATGCCATGACATTCTATCCAGGGCAACAAGAGTGAGTCTCTGTCTTAAAAAAGCAAACAGGCTCGGCACCTGTAGCTCAGTGGCTAGGGCACTGGCCACATACCACAGAGCCGGCGGGTTCGAACCTGGCCCAGGCCTGCCAAACAACGACAACCAAAAAATAGCCAGGCGTTGTTGCAGGTGCCTGTAATCCCAGCTACTTGGGAGACTGAGGCAAGAGAATCACTTAAGCCCAAGAGTTTGAGGTTGCTGGGAGCTATGACGCCACAGCACTCTACCGAGGGTGACATAGTGAGACTCTATCTCAAAAAACAAACAAACAAAATCCACAATAACAACAAAATGACAAAGTTAAAAATTTTTTATTATAAAATGATCTTGGGCGGCACCTGTGGCTTAGTGAGTAGGGCACCGGCCCCATATACCGGAGGTGGCAGGTTCAAACCTGGCCATGGCCAAAAACTGAAAAAAAGAAAAAATAATAATCTTACTATTTTGTTACTGAGTCTCAGTAAAAAGGCTCCAACTCCCTCTCTAAAATCATTTAATTTCATTTAAAAATTTTTTTTTATTTTTTGCAGTTTTTGGCCAGGGCTGGGTTTGAACCCGCCACCTTTAGCATATGGGGCCGGCACCCCACTCCTTTGAGCCACAGCGCCGCCCTAAAATCATTTCATTTTAAACAGCCAGTAATTGAAAAGAATTTGTCCTTTGGTTGTTCATCCAGAGCAGTGATCTTCAACCAGTGTGTTGTGTGCCCAAATCTTTAAAGATCATTAATTAAATTATTTTCTAAAGAAGTTCAATGCATAGTAAATATATTCTATTTTTTACTCTTTTTTATGACCAACCTAATTTAAGTGTGCTGCGCAAGTGTAACTACAGGTTCAAGTATGCTCTGAGATTAAAAAAAAAAAAAAGGTTGAAAAACACGGCTCTAGAAGCTTAAGGTACATATTCACGCGTGTTCATGTTTACAGTGGACCATGTCACCACTTCCAAGACGATGTCCGATGTCCATAGTAAGAGAGACATAAATGAAACTTACCGTCTGCTTTTGTTGTCCCACAATCCAGTACGGCCTTCTGAACTGAAAGAGAAAAAAGGAACACAAGAAAGGTCCTTTCCCACATGGTATTTTGGTGTGAAGATTCAAGCCTCAGCATGGCAGTTACAGCTCACCTGTGGCAGAAGAAAACATAGCCCAAAGGAACAGTTTGTTCAAGTGGCCCTGCATTCTCCGGAATGAAGTCAGAGAGGAGCATGGAGGCGGCTTAGGAGCTGGGTAGTGGTGAGTCACTCCGAGAACTTCCTTTTTTTCTCGACCACACTAAGAAACTCACAGGGTCTGGACAAGCTTTGCACGACATGACGACTTGTTGGTTTTTTTTTTTTTTTTTTGAGACAGAGTCTCAAGTTGTCGCCCTGGGTAGAATGCCACAGCAACCTCAAACTCCTGGGCTCAAGTGATTCTCTTGCCTCAGCCTCCCAAATAGCTGGGACTACAGGCGCCTGCCACAAGGCCTGGCTATTTTTGTTGTTGTTGCAGTTTGTCATTGTTGTTTTTAACTGGCCCGGGCTGGTTTCGAACCCACCAGCCTCGGTGTCTGTGGCCAGCGCCGCCATATGAGGACTTGTTGGTTTAACCAACCTCTTTTCCTCCACAAGTTTGTGTAAGAAGAGAGAGATTTGGTAGATTGCCCCTAACAAATGGTAGCTGGGAAAAAAAAAAGAAAAATCTCACTGTTGTTACATGTCTTTGTTAAACCCACCCAGTATCTCTGTCGAGTGTCAGTCCATATGCAAAGGGATTTAGTGGAAGTTTGGTTTAGTCTTTGGAAGGAACTATGACTATGGTGAGCAAAAACACACAAACATGGGCTCAGAAAGGCCTGCTTTGGTTAAATGCTGGTTCCTAGGCTCCACTGCAGACTTAGCGAGGTTGGAGCCTGGGACTCTGATTTCTTTCTTTTTGTGGAGGAGGGGTAGACAGAGTCTAATTCTGTCACCCAAGCTAAAGTGCCATAGCTCACAGTAACCTCAAACTTGGGCTTGAACAATCCTCTTGTCTCAGCCTCCCAAGTAGCTGGGACTACAGATGCCCACCACTATGCCTGGCTAGTTTTTTTTTTTTTTTCAGTAGAGACAGGGTCTCTCTCTTGCTCAGGTTGGTCTTGAATTCCTGTGCTTAAGGGATCTACCCTCCTTGGCCTGCCAGAGTGCTAGGATTATAGCCACTGTGCCTAGGACTCCGATTTTTTTTTTCCTGAGACAGAGTCTCAAGCTGTCACCCTGAGTAGAGTACCATGGCATCATAGCTCACAGCAACCTCCAACTTGGGCTAGAGCGATCTTCTTGCTTTCGTTTTTTTTATTTTTAGTAGAGATGGAGTCTTGCTTTTGCTCAGACTGGTCTTGAACTGGTGAGCTCAAGCAATCCACCAGCCTCGGCCTCCCAGAGTGCTAGGATTATAGGTGTGAGCCACTGAGCCTGGCCTGGGACTCTGATTTTTTAATGAGGGCCCCAAGTGATTCTCGTGCACACTCTAAGAGACACTTTTGCCTCAGTGATTTCTAAATCAGGTAGCCTCAGGAGCTTGTGAGGATGGCGAGTCCCCCAGCACCAGGGGAATGGCTGGTGGAAGAATGTATGGAAGAGATGGGATAGGAGGATGGAGGTGTGAGGGAACTTAGATCAGCCTTTGAAATATAATGCGCAGAGCCACTTCCTGGTGGAGTGGAGACCACCAAGATAGAAGGGCCAGACCATGGGCCTAGGTGGGCGGATCTGTCAGATACACTAGCTGGTCAACCCAGGCCCGAGTCAACAGGACCAGCAAGAGAGGCAGCAGGAAGCTGAATGGGCAGAGCTGCAGTAAGCCAGGACCTAAGGTGTAACCAAATCCCTCATTACAATTTAGGGTCATCTGTGCTAACACCCTGTTCCTTTCAAGTTTGGGAGAGTGAACCCTGAACCCTTACAAAGTTCTGACACCCAAGCTGGCCCACTGTCCAGCCAGGGTTGCTAGAAACTGCTAATATACCAGTGTTTCTGCTTTTAAAATCCTCTTAATCCTTAGCCAGGCATGGTAGCATATGTTTGTAGTCCCAGCTACCCAAGAGGTTGAGGCAGGAGAGTTGCTTAAGCCCAAGAGTTCAAGGCTGCATTGAGCTATGATTATGCCATTGTACTCCAGCCCTGGGTGACAGAGCATAGACCCTGTCTCAGAAATAAGTAAAATAAAATAAAGAAAGTTCTCTTAGTCCATCATGGGTAACTATAGAAGTTCCACTGTAAAATAATTTTTTTTTTTTTTGAGATGGTCTTACTCTGTCACCCTGGATAGCATATCACGGCATCTTAGCTCACAGCAACCTCAAACTTGGACTTAAGTGATTCTCTTGCCTCAGCCTTCTGAGTAGCTGGGACTAAAGGCACCCACCCTAACACCTGGCTATTTTTAGAGATAGGGTCTCACTCTTGCTTAGACTGGTCTCGAACCTGTGAGCTCAGGCAGTCCACCTGCCTCAGCCTCCCAGAGTGCTAGGATTACAGGCAAGAGCCACCACACCTGGCCTTGTAACTAAGTTTTAAATAAAAAATAGAAAACAACCCTAAATGTTCAGTAATAAGGGATGACATTGTGTTGGATGACAATTTTCACAGCTCCTGCTCCCCCATCCCACTACCACCACTCACAAAGAGTTCTGTCCAATTCTGAAAAGGAACATTATGAAAAGAAAGTCAGCCAAGAAAGATAAGAAAAAAATTTGAGAAGAGCAGGAAGAACTTTCCTATCTTCAACATATCTGTTTTACAATAGGCATCATGAAAGTTGTCAGTTGATTAAACCCAATCACAAAAAGCACATGACTTAGTAAATAACCATGTGGGACATTTTTTTTTTTTTAAGACAAAGTCTCACTATGTTGCCCTGGGTAGTGTGCTGTGGCATCACAGCTCACAGCAACCTCAAACTCTTGGGCTTAAGTGATTCTCTTGCCTCAGCCTCCCAAGTAGTTGGGACTACAGGTGCCCACCACCACGCCCAGCTATTTTGTGGGACTTTCTAATGACAAAGTCTTCCTACAGTCTTAGTGGGATTTTCTTTTCTATTGGCTTTTTGTGGCTACAGCAGTTTTATAATATTTTATAAACATTTGGATGAGCAAACTGTCAGATGAATGTACAAAATCCCACTTAATTTTTTCTTTCCTTTGTGTCCGCAACATTCTTTATCAGCTTCCTGTTACCTTTTAGCCACCACTTCTGCCTAGTTGGAAAAAAACCCAGAGAGCAAGAATGGGAGCATTCCAGGTATTCATATTTTCATATAGATTTGTGGACATGGTTTCGCTCCCAGATCCAGAGAGCTGTGTTGTCACAGCACCCTACCAAGGGGGACAAAGTGAGACTCTTTATCAAAAAAAAAGAAAAGAAAAGAAAAAAGATTAGTAATGCAGGTTCACTTTGGATTCTTTCTGTATTACTAATCTTTTTTCTTTTCTTTTCTTTTCTTTTTTTTCTTTGAGACAGAGTCTCACTTTGTCACCCTTGGTAGGATGCCTTGACAACATAGCTCTCAGCAACCTGAAACTCTTGGGCTCAATCAATTCTCTTGTCTTAGCCTCCCTAGTAGCTGGGACTATAGGCACCTGCCACAACACCTGGCTATTTTTAGAGACCGGGTCTCGCTCTGACTCAGGCTGATCTCAAACCTGTGAGCTCAGGCAGTCCACCTGCCTCGGCCTCCCAGGGTGTTAGGATTATAGGTGTGAGCCACTGGACGTGGCCTGCATTACTGTTTTTATGGAGAAGGAAGAAAGAGGGAATAATTCCTGACCTTGACGCTTTTCCTTGGTAATCAGTAAAAGAGGAAGAGCCTCCTTCAAGCCTAGAAGTATAGTTGACTCAGATGGTGATGAGTGGGAGTCGAGATTCCCCAGAGGCCTGGACTCAAAACCACTGAGTTACCGAAAAGATAAAAATACAGTCCCCTCCCCCGTGGACCCACCTGTGGACCCATATGTGCTCTTGGGCAACTCACAAGCGTGCACACTTCCTTCTCTCCTTTAGCACATGCTTCCTTCAGAGAAAATAATTGCTTTGAGTCTAGTAAATTACAGAAATTGAAACAACACACTAAACAAAATATTTAGTAGGTCTGAGCATAATTCGTGTCCACTTACTGTCTCTGCCCCCAGGAGCATCTCCATCCAACCTTCCCACGGGTATCATTTCTTTACCAGTGAAACTACTTAGGCATGGAGTTTTCTTTGGAGGACGGTTTTTAAATTTGAATTTGTCTCTTTTTTTTTTTTTGTTAGAGACAGAGTCTCACTTTATCGCCCTCAGTAATGTGCTGTAGCGTCACACAGCTCACAGCAACCTCCAACTCCTGGGTTTAGGGGATTCTCTTGCCTCAGCCTCCTGGGTAGCTGGGACGACAGGTGGCCGGGGCCGGGATTGAACCCACCACCCTTGGTATTTGGGGCTGGCCTCCCTACTCACTGAGCCACAGGCACCACCCATGAATTTGTATCTTTAACAAATGAGGCTCAAGTGGCTAAGGCACCAGCCACATATACACCTAAGGTGGCGGGTTCAAATCCAACCCGGGCTCGCCAAACAACAATGATGGCTGCAACCAAAAAATAGCCAGGCATTGCGGCGGGTGCCTGTGGTCCCAGCTACTTGGGAGGCTGAGACAGGAGACTCACTTGAGCCCAGGAGTTGGAGGTTGCTGTGAGCTGTGATGCCATGGCACTCTACCCAGGGTGACAGCTTGAGGCTCTGTCTCAAAAAAAAAAATAAAAGGCTACCTATGTTATCTCTTTCTGTTTTGATGCTTTTCCCACCAACTTGGCCTCCACCCTTGACTGGGCAGAGGGTAGGGCTGCATCTCTGAGAACATTGGAGCCTGGGTAGACCCGGGGGCCTTTCAGAAGAACTGCCATGTCTCGAACTCTCAGCTACAACATTCTTTGCTGTGGACAACATGTGTCCTAACAGGCATTATCCTTAACTGTGGTTGGTAGCAATAGTAGCAGCTGCTGCTCACTGCCTAGGTCGGCCCTCCTGCAAATGCTTTCTGCTGGGATCCTTTCACCCGGGGAGGATGACCATCTCTGTTTTACATTTGGGGAAACACAGCTCAGAAAAGCTGACGTGTCTGGAACTCTCAGCTACAAGCAGGAAGCTTGGTGACCACAGATCTGACGCAAAGACCGCAAATGAAACCAGGGGAAATACTGTTTATAGCAGCCAGCAAACATGTCTAGGAGT